TGATCCCACATTTTCAGGCCACAGTCTTATGGGCTGCTCTGTTTCTATTTTCCCATCTCCTTTAAAGGAACTCAAGGCGGCTTACTTAATTCTCCTCTGCGCCGTCTTACCCTCACCACAACAACCCTGTGAGGTAGGCTGGGCGGAGAGTGTGGGGCTGGCGGAAGGTCACCCGGTGGCCGAGCGGGGACTCAAACCGGGATCTCCGGGAGTCCCAGTGCAGCACTTCCAGCCCAGCCTTTTGCAGGGCGGCCTGGGAAGTCGCTGTTGCACGTGGGCGAGCCTGGTGCAACATTTGTGCACAGCCGCACCAGCATCCGAGCAAAGGCACCCAGAGCACGCACTGCTCCTCACAACCCGTCCCGGCCGCTTTCCCTCTGCCCCCTGGCCTCTCGGCTCTCTGCACGTGCTCCGTCTGCGCCCTCCGCTTGTCTGGCTCGGGACGGCCTCGTGCCGCCACTGCCAGACGCTCCGGGTTTTGTGCCGATCGCCCCGAGCCGAGGAACGGAGCCACACATCCTGGCTGGCAGGGGTTGAGGCCATGCATTTATGCATGAAGATGGGGCTTAGGCAGCAGGGACGGGTTGTAAGCGATTTCCTCCACGGAGATTGCCAAAGAGAAAGGCCATTTCCCATGGCGGGGAGGCACCTGCTCGCCACCTGTCTCCCTGCAGCGTCTCCTGAGAGGTGTCAGCGAACGTTCCCATTAGCAAATACGTTTGTCTGACGCTGGCAGCTCCTTTGTGTCGGGTGAATTACAAGGCGCTCTCCTCTCCGGTTGTTCTTTTCCACAACAACCCTGGGAGGTAGGTCAGCTGAGCGTCCGGAACGGGCTAAAGTCACCAGGGCTAGTCCAACACTCTAACCACTGGGCTGCACTGTCTTTTGGCCACTGAGCTTCAAGGCACCACTCTTGGGGCTTCGAATCTGCCCCGTCTGCTCAGTGACACAATTTCTCAGGTGTTCCTAAGGTTGACCTGTCCTGCTTCTGCGAGGATCTGCAGTTTTGAAAACAACAGCCCACCAGTTTTTCCATTATTTTAAAATTTATTTATCTACTTATTCATATCCCTCCTTTTTTCCTTCCAAGGGACTCAAGGCAGCTTCTGTATTTCTCCTCCTCTCCTCACAACAACCCTGTGAGGTAGGCTGGGCCGAGAGTCTGGGACTGGCCCAAAGTCACCCCGTTGGCTCCATGGCTGAGCGGGGACCCACATCCAAACTGAGTCAGTCCAAGGCCTGGACTCTCAACTGCTTTCCCACACGACTTTTCCCCGCAAAATCTATATTTTGGCCTCTATCCTCATCCAGATTGGATGGCCAGTGTCAGCCCAGGGCTGGCCGATTCTTCCCTTTCCGTAGACCGTCCCTATAGCTTAGAGAGCTACCACAGGGGACGGCTGCTTAGAGATCCCACACTTCCATCCTGCCGCCTCACTTGGCGTCCCTGTGGCCAGGGAAGGCCAGCGGGTCCGGTGTCTGGGGCTCCCTATCCTTGTCAGCTTTCATCCTGAGCTTGAGGGGAGCTCTCCATGCTGCTCAGCGTGGGGGAACCTATTCTGGGGATGGGGTTCAGAGCCCTGCCAGCAGAAAAGTTCCCACATGGACTACATTTCATGTGGTGCCCTTTCAAAGGCTCCATGGAGTGCCGTCACTGAAAACCGTTCAAAAGTGGCACGGCCAGAACGTTGGCTTGGGATGGGTCCAGGTGGCCATTACAGCGGCTTCAACAACTGGCAGTGCAGGTGGGACAAGACTCAGCCTATTCTGTCCCTCCAGCATTTACAGCTTCCTTCTCATGCTCAGCCCGGTGAACCAAGCCACGAGGAAGTCGGTGAGTGCTGTGGATCGAAGCCTGCGCCACTGGCAACCTTTCCCGTGCTTCGTGCGGGGTTATGCGCCACAAAAGCTGCTCACATGAGCAGGGCTTCTTCTTGCGCAGCCCCTGCCTTGAGCACCCTGGTGTGCTTCTCCACAGCTCGGATTCGTGGCCACCGCCAAGCAGAACGGAGCTCCGGAGCTGAGCCCGGGGAATCCGACCGATCTAAACCCCCAGATGGATTCCCTGCACACCCCTAGCTACCGGGCTGTTTCCAGGGTCATGCGCAGAATAAACGAGGGCTTTGCGGCAAGGCCATGTGAACTGCGGCTCCGGGATGGTTCAGCTCAGGTGTGGGGACGCCAGGTGTGGGGACCGCTCGTTTAGAAAGGTTCGCCTAGCAGCGGATGATGGGGCGGCCTCTGGGCTAGAGAACCAAATCTCCTGAGCCAGTTTGCGGTGACCCAAGCCCCTGCCTGCGCTGCCTGCCCTCGCACGGGAGAATCAGGGCCATGCAAAAGGGCACCCCAGAGGCAAAGGTGGGGAAGCGGCATCCCAGGAGGAGTTTTCAGGGCAAAAGTTCTCTCCTTCTGACTGGGATTTTCTCCTCCCGGCCCTTCAGGTGTTTTGCATCACCTTTGCTGTCTCTCCGTAGGGTTTCCAATTTAGTTCTCCTGAAACTGTAGGAAAACAGGCCTCAGGGGCATCTCAGATGGAGTTGAGTGTGAAGAAGGAAATCGGCCCCAATTAGCTGGCTCAGATCTGCCAATTCCGGGAGCATCGTTTTCTGGAGAGTTCACCCTAGAACGGGGACACCAGCTCCCCAGCGGCAGCAAACGCCAATTTTAAACATACCAGGCGGTGCTTTATGCAAGTGTCTTACCTGTCACCTCGCCTATTGCTGATATCCAGGGATGAGTGCTGATGTTTTTGGTGCTGAAGCAGGCTCTTCTGTGTGCTGGAGGAAGGAAGAGGCAGGCATGGGCAGCTGTGGGTTGCAGAGGGACTAGAAACTTGTGAGGTATGCAGCCCACAAAGAGGAGACGCCTGAAAACATCCCAGCGAGACCTGAGTCCAGCCAGAGCCATGGCTGGCTGGCTGTTCCCTTGTAAGCCCAGAAGGAAGTGGGTAATGAAGTAGAGTACCCTGAAATGGGGAGGCTTCCGCTGCAACAATTCGTTGCAGGTGCTCACAGTAACTGAAGAAATGGCTGTCTCTCTATCCTGTGATACCATCATACCCCATTTGTGGTTTTCCAGGAAGCACTATTCCATTTATTTATTTATCTATCTAAAACTTTAATATCCCTTCCGCTACTGAGGTCTCAGGACGGCCTTACAATAAACAGGGTGGAAGCACAGCAGCCGAGTTAATTGCTATACACTAGAAGCCCCGAGCAGGTTCTCCTTCCTATAATGCTCACAGGTACACTGCTCCCAGCTCTGCAGGTTCCATCTCCCTGGACCCATTCTGCACGAATTTGTCTCGCCTGCTTTTTGGAAGCCGTCGCAAGGAGAGCTGTGCCAGGCCGGGCGCGGACGCTCCTCCGGGAATGCGGTGCCGGCGCCTTCTCATGAGCAGCGATCTTGTGCCCCCTGCACACCGCCTCTTGTGCCCTCGGAGCTTGGCTGCTTCATCCAAGCGTCTGGGCAGGGCGGCCTTTTCACAGTGACAATCTGCTGTCCCCTGTTGCGCAGCAAAGCATTTTGCGGTGGCTTGGTCTGGAAGGGGCAATTAAGACTGATAAACATTTTGATTTAATTTCATGTAATTTCTTCACCCCCGTCAGCAGGCAAAGTTCTCCAGGCCATTTCGAAGAACATAATAAGAGGAGAGATGCTAAAAATGCAAATACAATAAAGCACAGTATAACGTTCCATTATATTCACAGATGTGAAAGTGTCTAAAATTTGAATATGCAGACTTGAAAACCGTTGGAACATCTAAAATAAATCCAATAATGCTAGATTTAATTAAGACAGCTGACAGTACCCATTGCTTGGGGAAGGAGGGCAGTTTTAACCTGCTGCAGAAAATATGCTAATGTTGGCACCAGGCGAGTGTCAGTTGCAGGGCTTCATTCCATGATCGGGGCCACCACTGAGCAGGCCCTCCTGCTGGGCGTCTCCTTGCACCTCCTTTGCCGTTCACAGTAAGAGAAAGGCCCCAGAGGCGGATCATGGGGTCTGGGCCGCAGCTAGGAGCCAAGACTGTGGAAGCTTTTGGGGCCTGTGCTTCAGAACCTCAGCCTCCTTTTCTTGGAGCATTAAGCTGCACTGCTTTGGTCCATGGAGGCTTCACTTAATTGTGCAGCTAGTCTGCTGACACCCCGCTCCTCTTGAAACCTGAAATCACTGCCCGCATCTTGTGGTGGTAATGAATGTGTTGCAATTATAGTTTAATTACCACGAAGCATCAACAACAATGATAATGAATGTTCGGCTAGTCTAATAAAAGTATCCGGAGCGGGCTAAGTGGTACTCACAAAACCCTATAATATATACAGATTTAAAAGTATGTTATATAAGGAGAAAATTGAGCACCACTAAACTCCAGTTCCTAGAAACAGCGCCAAAGATTCAAACAATGGTTTAGCGGCGAATCTGGCAGCAGTAAACAAGGTGTAGCACCTGCAACCCTGTGAAACAAGCATCTTCAAGAAGTAAGTTATAACCTGCTTTGGGCAATTTATTTATGACACTTGTATGCTGCTTTCTGGACAGCTCGCAAGGCACCTATCAGTGGTATAGAGGATAAAAGAACAACAAATTAAAAATGAGTCAATCCAAAATGTCCAATAATATCCGTGGAAGCAGGAGACAAATACACTGGACAAAGAAAAACAAGCAGCAAGAAAGACATAATAAAACAGCCAATTATAGTAAAAACAGGTGCAAAATGAAACCGTCTTTACCTGGCGACAGAAACTGAGTAGTGAGGTTGCTAATCATTCAGGGAGGGCGTTCTTGCAAGAGGAAGGAAGGTGGGTGTAATTGAAATGCAATAATAATAATATTAACAATTTCCCTGAAATTTAGAAGAAGTGTTTTCAGGACCTGAGACCAGGAAATAAGGCTTGTGGGAACAGGTTGCCTAGGATGTGATTTTAAGAAAGCTGCTTCGGCTTTTTTTCTGTCTGGTTTTGTTTTCATGTCTCCAAATGTGTTTCTCTCTCCTGCAGGTGTTTTGCTAGACATCCAGCAACATTTTGGGGTCAGAGACAGCGGAGCTGGCTTGCTTCAGACAGGTAAGGGGGCTGCTTGGTGGTTTCCTCCCGCATCCCTCCGTGTTTGCCTTTTCCACCCAGTCTTCCGCCTGATTTCCCAAGCCAAGGTCAGCGCGTCCTTGGGAGCGTGAGCTGGCTTTGTTTTAAACCGTAATCAGCTGGCAAATGTGTTTCTGTGCACTTCTGTCCTTGTTTGGCGGCAGCTTAGCTGCCTCCTGGTCTTCGGCGTTTTGAGCAGCAGCCAAAGCCGAGAGGGATGCGGAGGCTTGCTGCATTTCCCCAGGGAAAGAGCATCCTGGCCCATGGATGGAGTGGACTGGACCACCTCTTTGCGGGAGCTGAACTGGGATTAAGGCGAGCGCTGAGCCAGTGACGGAACAGCAGCTTGGGTCCAAGGAGGACGTTAAAAATATAAGCATCTTTTAGCTTGAAGTGCTTCCTGCCAAGCTTTAGGAGCAAAAGGCATCTCGGCCTTAGAGAAGGTGACAAAACTGCACCAAGCTGTGTGGAGACCACCTAGTGAACAGGGTAAAAGTGGAAGGTGGCCATCTGTGGGGTCTTGGCTCAGGCCCATGGGCCTGTTCAAACACCTGTGACTGGGGCTACAGTGAGCATGGACCTGCTTAAGGTCGTGTGGTCCTCGTCTCTTGTTTTAGTAGAACTGCCCTCCCACCAACCAGAGCCAGGGGGCGGAGCCAGTGCTGGCACAGGGGCGGAGCCAGTGCTGGCTAGCTTGACCCACGTATCCAAGTTCCAACCAGGGTTACTGTGGATCAGGGCTAACCTGCCCCACTCCCCAGAAACTTCCAGTGATTGCTACCGTTAGACACGAGAGTTAAAAGCAGTTTGCCAAATGCCCTCGCCGACTTACTGGAATTACATGGGAGACGCCAGGTGGGTTGCCGCCTGCTCCTGCTCGAAAGCGGCCAGGCGGATGTTTCACAGCCAGGCTCGGAACAGATGTCGGGGGCTGAGCCCCCATCGCTGGGTGGGCTTGGGCGCTGCCAGAGAGCTGCACCCTGAGCAGCTGCATGGCCCCACACCCCAGTCACGCATGCGTCTCCCACTTGCGTCTGCACAACCACGCACACTCAGTGCACAGGGCTGGCAGAAAGGGTTTGAATGCCTCTCACGGGTGTGGCACATGGCCCATTTTTCTCTCTCTGCCTTCTGATGCCAGGATGCAGTAAGTTTTGTGGGGCTGGGATGCTCTGTGTCCTCGGAATGGGGTGCAGCCAGGGGCAGGGGGAAGTGGAGGGAGAGGTGATCAGGCCAAAAGGACCGTTGTTGTAGTCAAACCGAACCTAAAGGAGAGGGATGGGCGCACCCCACTTTTCAGGGCCCAGCACCCTCCTGCAGTGTCCCAGCTCCCGTGCCTTGGGGGCTGATGCTGAATTTTGGAGCTGGGCGTAGACGTTGGAAGGGAAATGGCTGAGCCCCGAACAACGGGTGTCCATTTCCCTATCATTCTGTAAATTCCTGAAAGGCATCTCTCTGAAATAATTCGGATCCCTTTTTGCACGCCGTTTTTTCTGTTAATATTCTGTCTCCTCTCCCCAGCATTATAAATAACTCTGGTTCCCTAGTTGGTGGGGTTATAAAACAGGGTCCATTAACAGTGAGGTGGAAGATGATTTATTTCTGCTCTGCGCTGCTGCTGTTGAGCAGCGGTGGAGGGAGGGAGTGGGGCCAGGTGGGGGTTACGGCAGCAAAGAACGCGAGGGACCGTGAGTGCCGAGGAGCATCGGTGGGTCCGTTTTGCAAATATCTCTGCGTGCTGAGCCGGGGCGGCTAAGCTTCTAGGGCACCCCCGCAAGGCATGCCCCGTGCTCCCCGCTTTTACATCTGCACCCCAGGAGAATTTAATGCCAGGGTCTGCACGCTCAGCTGGCGCTGCCTCCACTGCCCGGTGTGTGGAGGGGAGGGGAGGCGCCCAGGGAGATGGGGGTCAGAGGACGCATTCCTGCTTCCCCCGTGCACGCCGGGCGGAATACCGGATGGGGAGCTGGGCATCTCTGTGCTGCAAAGCGTTTTCGTCAGCTGATTGGGAGAAATCCAACACTTGGGTCTTGCTTAACTTCGTTGTGTTAGGACTGCCGCATTTCATTGACTGATCGATCACATTCATTGATTAAAATGTTTGGTTTGAATAATTGGTTAATTAGGCAGTAGATTTTAAATGGGTTGATGCCAGCGCTATTTCATCGGCAATCCCGCCCTCTCTTCCGAGATGGCCGTGTTGCTTCCTCTCTTAGGTTTTTCAGTGGCCTTTGACTTGGACTGGCCGTGCCTTCAGGGAGAGGGTCGTCCTCCATGAAGTGGGACCAGAGGTCACTCTAACGCCGTGGCTGGGCTTACATACGCTGCAAAGACCTGTGCTGTCTGTACTCAGATCCTCCTGCTCTCCCACTGGCTGGGTTCAGACAACACAATACCCAAGGGTTGAATGCAGGCCGAGTGCGGGCTGTTGTTGAACTATGGGGGCTGTTGAAACATGGGGTATTGTGCTGTCTGAACCCAGCAGAACTAACCAACCATGGCTTGCTTGTCATAACCCATGAACTGGGCCCATGGTTTGTTTTTGGGTTGTGAACTGTGGGTTGCTCAGGGATTACAAACTGCGGTTTGTTGCTGTGGCTAAGTTCAGATAACCCACAGTTCTCCAACAACCCACCATTCACCAACAGCTCACACCCAAGCCACATTTCCCAGCATCCCCTGACCAGCCATGCTGTGGACAAGCCCCAGAATATTCAAGGATAAGACTTTTTCCAAACCCTGTGAGTGGGGAGCTGTATTTTTGCTGTGGCCAAGTCAGGACCTGCCTCCACTGCAGAGCTCTTCTCATCTTATTCTCTTCTTTGGTGTTCTGGGCACAGTAGAAACTCCTCACACGAAGGTTAGTGCTTGGCCACGTGTCTGGGATTTCTTTCTTTCTTTTTTAATATAGCCAATGTAGTACTTTAATTCTGGCTGAATCAGAACCATGTAGCCTGCAGTCGGCACAACAAACTGTGGTTTGCATTAACTGCAGTTTGGACTCCAATCTTGATTGGCATTTCAGGGAAACCATGGTTTGTGCAGTTTTTTTAATCCCCTGCATCTTCTCTTCTCTGCAGCAGTTGCTCAAGCCACACTTTTTGATCTGAGTGCAACTCTAAACTGTGACCTGCAAACTGTCTTTAAACACCCCGTATGCAGCTCTGTTCTTCTCATCCAACCTTCCCTGATCTGGTGTCCTCCAGTTGTTCTGGACTGCAAGGGATTCCATTTTCAGCCAGTGCTCAGAAATGCTGAAGGCTGCAGTCCAAAGCCTCTGGAAGGTGTGAAGCTGGGAGTGGGTTGGTCCCGCCTGTTGCAGGAAAAACAATGGTCTTGTAGCACATCAAAGGCTAAAAAGGGGTACAAGGAGAGGGAGCCAACTGGTCTTCCCGCAACAGAGAATTCCAGAACTGGGGCACCACCACTGGGAAGGCCCCGTTGCACATACCCATGAGCTGCACCACTTTTGCTGCTGGAGCATGAGTTTAGCCTCCTCAGAAGGCCAAAACGTAGAGGGCAGTTTGTATGGGCAGAGACACTGCTTTTGATCCTAATGTTACTTGACTCCTGGGCGTACAACAGGAAAACAGTTTTGAGAACTTGGCGAAAGGAGTGCAAACTGTGCCAAAAAGGATGGCCGATTTACGAGAACTTTTAAAATGGTGAATGGAGTTTTAGAGTGTCCCTTTAAAAAAGCCCAGCTATTTTAAGGTCTCCCAGTAAAGGAAGTCCTGCTGTCGCTGAGCCAGATGGCTCATGGGAGGGAGAGGGAGACGCCATGGCCGGAGACTTGAGACGGGAAGCCCCTTCTTTGCTTTTCTAGTGGGGAAAAGAGCAGGGTCTGTCAGTGGGGGCGGGGGATGAACTGCGAGAAATTTATCGGAAGGTCATCCACATGGCGGCACCAAGAATGGCCCGTGGCCCTGATGAGCAGAGTTCAGTGCAAGCGCTTTTCCTGAGCTGGGGCCTCTGGGCAGGCAGTGCATGATGGGGCCTCCTCCATGGAAAGCAAGAAAAACAGCGCCAGCTTCCTTGCATGTGGAACTCCTCAACATCCTTAGCTTCTTGGGAAGAAGGAGTCAACCCCCAGCCGTCTGTCCATCCGTCCATCTCTCTTCTTGTACGTTTGTGTGTGTTCCAGGTTGGAATTCACATGTATGTTCCAAAACCTGCGTACACACATGGATCCCAGGCTGAGGCTGCCTTCTGAACACTCGCACGAGAACAGGGCTCCAAATGCAGAGCAATATTTGGCTTTGACTGCCAGCGCCTAGCACTGTGTACTTACAATATTTACTATGTAATGGTTTCTATGGGTATAATTTGACTGGGGGAAAATGGTTCCAGTTGTAATGTATGGATAGCTTTGTCACATAATAATTTTTAAAAAGTGAGCATGGATAACTGGGGTAAACAATCGTGTGTGTGTGTGTATGTGAGAGAGAGAGAGAGAGAGAGAGAGTTTTCAGTAGTGGCGCTTCCACGGTGCAATTCAGAGCGGCCACGTCTGGTGTGAGTGTCAATGTCTTTTCTGTGTCAGGGGCTTTTAAACTCTATGTTCTGCTCTCCTCCCCACTGGCCTGTAGGCAGAAGTGAGACGCTGCATGGAAGGATTTGCCATTTCCTATTGATCATGGCTATAGCAGCCCAAAAACCCATGTGCTGGAATCACATTCATTGCAGAATCACAGAATGGTAGAGCTGGAAGGAGCCAGAGGGCCATCGGGCCCAGCCCCCTGCTCAGGGCAGGACTCCTGGTTGAACCAGCCCTCTGAGATGGCCGTCCAGCTGCATCTTGAATGCCTCCGGGGCGGGAGAGCCCACCACTGCCCTAGGTCTTGGGTTCCATTGTTGTCTTACTCTAAGTCAGGAAATCTTTCCTGTTCTCTAGCTGGAAGTTGGCTTCCTGTAACTCGAGCCTGTTATTCTGTGTCTTGCGCTATGGGATGATGGAGTCCCTGGCCCGCCTCTTCTTGACA